AAAGATCGAGAGATCTGCCCACCCTCTCCTTTGCAGACAAAACCCAGATATCGGGCGGGGGGGGGGGCGCACACGCATGCGTGCACACACAGGGGCGTGGCCTGGTGGGGTTTGCCTTATCTCCTTTGTGACGGTATCCCAGAAGTGAGGACCTTGGTTTGGGGGCATGGGGGGAGGTGTGGCAGTATACAGCATGGTCCTTCTGGTAAGTGAAAACACAAGGTGAATTCTGTGAATTCTGAATTCAGACCCCAGAATAATGGGGTAACGAGGCATTTCCTGCCATCAGACCTGAGGTTCTGTAGGCAAGGCTGTCGAGGCTGACTGAGGCTAGGAGGGTGTCAAGGAGGGACAGAACTTGGTCTGTAGGGAGAGGCTTCAGGTTCACAGAGGAGAGAGACTCAGGTGAAGGTACTGACAGAAGAGTGAGGGAATCCTAGAAGTGATGGGGTCCAAGGCTTGAGACCCTGAGATACCTGGACATAATTGACATTATCTATGTCACTTATTTCTTCTTCTAGTGTCACAGGGAAGTGAGGGATTTAGTGTGAGGGGCATATGGGGACCACTGGCCACTAAGTAGAAGATGAACAACCCCACACTGCTGATTTCAGACTTGAAGATCCAGGGCAGGTTTGTCAGGCAAACTGAGGCTTCTCCTCACTTATTTCTATGAGGAAGGTAGAAAGAGGAGATATTTTGTTTTTGAGGATTCAGCTACCATTCAGGAGAAGGTTTCCTAGCCCACTAATTGAGCCCAGTGAGGACACCACTAAATGAGGACTAAGGACTCAAAGAGCCCAGGACAGGGAGGGCCCCAGAGAGCCATCACCCTGAGTATCTCTGACTAAGGCACACCTTCATTTCCCCCTTTTGAGTTGTGGGGACTTTCAGATGTCATCTTTTAAAAAGTAGAACTAATGGGGCCCAGGCCATATCAAGTTAGTGTAATCTGGCCCTAAAATTGAACTGAGAGGCCTCCCATCCAGAACGGGATGGCTCATAGTGGCAGCCCTTGCTACCACCCCTAAGTTCTAAACAGGGCTGGCAGTCCACAGCCTAACTCTTCCCCTAAATACTTCCACAGAGTTCTCCAAGAACAGGCTGAAGAGGAGAAAAGTCACCTTGTGTGTACCTACCCCACAGTCATTTTGATAAACTGCAGAGACAGCCTTCGGAAAATAAAGCCAAGGCATAAACTGCCTGGTGAAGGGGCAGTACACCTTCTAAGTCTCTCTTCCTAGTAGCCGAATCACTTCCACTCCTGCCCACCATCTGGCCTCTGCCAACATGACTCACAATCAGAATGATGACCTCATTGAAAATCTCAGCGAGGCCCAGAGTGGTATACAGGAGTCCCAGGTGCTCTTAAAAGACGAAGGAGAACTCCCTTCATCTTCTGTTCCTTTGGGGAATACTTCCCAGTGTACACAGAGCCCACCTGCTGCTGGGCCTGATTGCACCAGCAAGGATCCCATCACCACTTTAGACATAGTGTGCGTAAGACCTGATGAAAGTACCAACAACCAAACTGTGGAGGAGTCAACCATCTCCAAGCCATCAACCTCCAAGAAGAGATTACGCGCACATTCGCTAGCTAAGAAAGCAGGTTTATTAGAACAATTCCTCCTGCACAAATATAAGATGCAAAACCCCATCACCTTGGAAGCCATGCTAAAGGTTGTCAATGAGAAATACAAAGACCAATTCCCCGAAATCCTCAGGAGGGCATCTGAGCACATTGAGATTGTATTTGCAGTTGATGTAAAGGAAATAGATCCCATCACACACTCTTATGCCCTTGTTAGTAAAATGGACCTTCCACACAATGGAAAGGTCTATAGGGGTAAGGGTTTCCCCAAGACCGGTCTGCTGATGGGTATTCTGGGTGTCATCTTATTGAAGGGCAATCGGGCAACTGAAAAAGATATCTGGGCATTCTTGAATACAATGCGTATCTTTGATGGGAAGAAGCACTTCATCTATAAGGATCCCAGAAAGCTCATTACAAAAGAATTTGTGACGCTGAAGTACCTGGAGTACCAGCAGGTGCCAAATAGCAAGCCTAGTTCCTGGGAATTCCTTTGGGGGGCTAGAGCTTTTGCAGAGACGACAAAACTGAAAATTCTTGAATTTTTAGCCAAGGTCAATAGCACTGAGCCCAGTGCCTTCGGGTCCGTATATGAAGAAGCTCTGAGAGAAGAAGAGGAAAGAGCTCGAGCAGTCTATGAGCCTGTGGCTGGCTGTAGTAATGAGGCCAGTTCACAGGCTATGGCCTCATGCAGCGACATTAATGTCCCACTGTAAAGTTTTTTTTCCTTCCCATTTACAGAAGCTACCAAAACATCACAACAGGAAATGGCTGGGAAATGTGAAAGAACCCCAAAATAAAGTAGCTGGTTGAACAACATGAAGACAAATAAAATGGGCCATCCTTGGTTTCTTGTGTCTCTTGATTTCTCCACCCCCCCCCCCTTCTTTTTTAAGTAAACGGGTTTTTATCTTGAAAGGGTAATCCAGAACGTAGGAGAAACTGAATTTTGGAAAATTAGATACATTTCCCAAACATTTTAAGACAATCTGTTTTGGGGAAGACCCTGTGATAGTACTGGGTATGCTCAGAATTTTGTTGTTCTGTGTTTCTGAATCAATCTTGACTCACAGTGACCCTGGGAACCAATGGATAGCAAGAAACAGCACCATACTAAGAATGTTATGAAGTAGATGTTGAGGTAACCTGTAATTACAACAGTCAAAGAAAGTAAAAGTCCAACAAATAAATGCAGTTTGGGAGCAAGGTCCTTCAGTGGGAGGAAGAAGAAAGTTGAGTTAAATCATGGAAATGGTGAGCAGGTATCAGACCATGCCCTCAGAAATTCCTCTGAGATTCTAGGTGTTGTTGTTTGTTGTTGTTATTATGTGCCGTCGAGTCGCTTGCGACTCATAGCGACCCTATGTACAACAGCCCTAATAAACTCCGCTCTGTCCTGTGCCAGTCGCACTGTCTCTGACACTCCCATCCCAATTATCCCAGTTACTGAATCAATCCACCTCATAGAGGGCCTTCCTCTCCTGCGCTGTCCCTCTACCCTCCCAAGCATGATGTCCCTCTCCAAGGACCAGTCTCTCCTCACAACATGTCCAAAGTATGTTAGACGGAGCCTCAGTATCCTTGCCTCCAAGGAGCCACCCGGTTTAGCCCTTTCCAGGACAAATCTGTTTGTTTTCCTAGCAGTTCATGGAATTCTCAATACTCTTCTCCAGCACCACAGCTCTCTGTCCAACTCTCTGATGCATAACAAGTGATTGCGAAGACCATGGCCTGTATCAGACGCACCTTAGTCTCCAGAGAGACACCATTGCTCTTCAGTACTTTGGAGAGGTCCCTAACAGCAGACTTTCCCATGGCAATGGGCCTTTTAATTTCCTGGCTGCTGGTGCCAAGAATGTTGACTACAGAGCCAAGCAAACTAAAGCTGTGAACAATCTCAATCTCTTCACCATCCATCCTGATGCTGCCAATTGGTCCAGTGAGATTCTAGGTAAATTAGCAAATAGTCTTTACCTGGGATGGGAATGTATGTTGTTCTTTGTTCCTTTGCTTTTTCTTCATACAGTTGAACATAGAGAATAACCAATGTGTTTTTCACACAACACACCTAGAGATTATCTGAGAGCTAAGGGTGATGGAGGTTAAGAGCCCAGAATCTACTGGCCTGGTACTCTCTGCCTTGGGTTGGAATAGCCAGAGCCCAGTTCATTAGAGGGCATTTTAATTTTAGTATTGTGAGTGAGGAATACATGTGGTCTGGGTATTCTATTGGTAATCAAAAGGTTCTAAGTTTGAGTCCATTCTGAGGTAACCTCAGAAGAAAGGCTTGGTAAATCAGCCATTGAAGACCCTATGGAACACAGTTATGCTTTGATATATAGTCACCAGGTGTTGGGATTGACTGAATGGTGACTAGTAGTTTTTGTGAATCAAACTCTAAACCAAACCCCTCTTACCACGTCAGTTCCAATTTATGGTGGCACTTCTTCAGGTTTCTGAGGCTGGAACTCTTTCTCACATGGAGTGGCTGGTGGATCCAAACTGCAGAGAGTTAGAGATTTGGACTGAAGTGCAGCTGGGAGGATGGGAAGAGTTCTTTCTTGATAGGCATTCTAGGAGTTTTGCATTTCATCTTCTGGAAGAGAGATTATATACAAATGAAATGGCAATTATGTCATAGGGAAGAATCAACTTAGCTTTACTAAGGAGGATTTTAAGCTGAGTTTACATCCTTTGAGAGCAAAGTATGCTGTCTGACATGTTCGGGATTTGGAAAAAAAAATAGTAGGGGCTTACATGGCATTAATTATACCACCATATCATCATAATAAGGAGGTCTAGTCTGTAGGGAGTCGCAATGTTAACTCAAGGGCCGAGCTCAAATCCACCAGCAGCTCCCTGGAAGAAAGGTGGACAATCTCCTTTTGTGCAGTTTACAGCCTTGGAAACCAGGGGAGAATCAGCTATGTGGAAGGTCCAATTTGTTGGCAAAGAGTAATAGAGACTAAATCATCGTAATGATAAATACCATTCATTAGAAGCCCAGTATTTGTCAATTGTCTTGCCAGGTACTGTTCATCCAGTATCCATCACTCCTATAAGATAATAGTTCTGATTTCAATTGTCTGATGAAAACCTTGTAAAATGCCCCAAATCACATAGTGGTAAATGACAGAGCTGGGTTGCACCCTTGCCGACCTTGTGTTGCACACTTGTGACCTTACATATCTCAATTCAACTCTCACAATTACAAAAGGTGTTTCAGGTGAATGAAAATCCTACAGCCAAAGTGTATTCCCTGGGTGAAGCAAATGGTTCAACAATCTGCTATAAACGTCAAAGTTGGCAGATTAAGGGAGCTCTAATGGCCTAGTCGCTAATAGCTGCACTGCAATCCCAGAGGTATGTGGTTCAAGTTCGCAAGATGCTCTGCTGGAGAAGGAGGGGAAATCTCCTCCTGTACCAGTCAGATACGATTTGACAGTACACACACACACACACACAAATAATAAAATTTAAAAAAAATCTTTTTAAAAGTTGGCAGATTAAACCTACTTAGAGACGCCTTGAAAGAAAGGCATAGCAATCTGCTTTCAAAAGGTTACAGTCTTGAGAACCCCAGGTGACAACATTTTAATTCTGCAACACATGAGGTTACCATAAGTGGAAATTGACTCGAGGGCAAATGGTTTGGTCTGGTTTGTGGTTAGAAGGGAAGCAGGCCCAAAGCAGGAAAGGGAATTTAAGAATAAAGAAAATTAGGGGAATGACTTGAAGGCTTATTTGCCTAGAGTTTGCTACCACTAGCCCCAGGTGCCTTTGAAAGCTGGCCATGCCAAGGGACTGGCCATTTTTTTTCCACGTTCACTTTCCCACATTATTGAGCCCTTTCCCAGGATGCCTCACTGCCCATCACTGGACCTGGACCAGCTTTTGCTTCCTTCTCTGAGGTGGCACATGCCCCCAGTGAAACAGATGGCCCAGAGTCACTGCCCAGTTCCTGACTGACAGCCTCTGACTCCGACTTGGAGGTCACTTCCTTCACTTTGTCATTTTCATATTTCTATTCACATGGTAACCTGGAGCCCATTCTTTTATGTATTCTTTCCTCCTTTTGATGGTTATTTTTCTAACGCTATTCCTTTTGATAGATAATTTAAGAGAGTTCTGTACATGAAGTTCTGAGAAACACCTAAGTTACTCATTTATTTGCGTGTGGTAGGTTTAAAAGTAAATTATATTTTGGAGAATCAAATTGGGAAAACATCTATCTTATTTTGTGGTCAAAACCAAGATAGCATGGCATCTTGTTAGACATCATTTTAGGAGGGGGAATGCGAAGTTCTATCAGGTTATCTATGACTATAAATCTGTTATTCTATGAAATTAAATGATGCAGACCTAGATTTGCTGAATTTAAAGCATAAAATCCCAAGAGTCCACAATTAAGGTTGCATAGTGGAATGTACTTGGGGTGGTGGGAGGGGTACAGGGGGATTGTGTACCAGGGAGGGAGTCTTTCTTTTACTTTTGAAAGAGAGGAGCGAACTGGGGGCTGGGGGAGAGAGGTGGGTGAGTAGAGAAGTGCAGCAATGAATGAATGGAAATCCAAATTATCTGTAAATGTTCATTAAAATTATTAAAAAAAAATGTATATACTGAAACTTGAACTTCAAAACAAAAAGTTGCAAATAGAAATTCCACTACTGGGAATATACCCCAGTTATATAAAGAGACCATAATTGCCAACCAAGTAGATATAAGAACACCTATGTATACTGCGGCTTTGGTTGCAATAGCGAAGAGTTGGAAACAACCTAAGTGCTAAGTGCCCATCAACAAACGAATAGATAGAGAAGCTGTGGTATATTCACACAATGGAATACTACGCTGCATTGAAAAACAAGAAACTCATGAAATAGAAAATGGGTGACCCTGGAGGACCTTATGCTGAGTGAAATATCTCAGTCACAAAAGGACAAATACTACATAGTGCCACTGTTGTAAAGCGAGACTGACATCGGAGTTGGGGAGACAAAATGTATACTGCATTGAAACTGATGAGGGACAGAACTGTTTAGGAGGAAGATATGACTAAGTACTATTGTTATGACAAGAGTTCAGAATGAAAGCTGCATAGTGGAGTGGATGGGTGGGGGTATTATTGTATAATAATGAAAGGGTTTTTGGTGTTTTTTTTTTATCTTTCAAAGACAAAAGTGAAGTGGGGTAGAGGGGTGGGCATGGAGGAAAGTGTGCAACAATGAAAGAATAGAAATCCAAAATCTCTGTAAACTTCCATTAAATTTTTTTAAAAATAAATAACAATACCTCAAGGGAAAAAACTATTTTGGTCCTTATAGGATATAAGCTAACTTGGTACATCTTAAAGATGTCACTGTGCAGACAGCATCAATGAAGAGGGAAAATAAAAAGAGATGCAATGTTGGAATATAGCCTAGCCTATATAAACTTCAAGCAAAGTTTGCATATTAGTGCTAAGCTTCTGATATGTATCACTTGCCCTCATGATCCCTTGTAATATAATGAAACAATAAAAATATTTTTATATTCTATGACTAGAAAAATATAAAACCCCCAAAAGAAAATTGACTGCCTTTGATTGACTATAGGTTCCTGAGGCTATATATCCTTGCACATCTTTCTCATGTGAAGTTGCTGATGGACTCAAACTGCCAACCTTTTGGCTGATAATACAGCTCCTTACCCACTAAGCCACCAGAACTCCCTCACT